AGGGCGGCGAAGCTCTCAAGCAGCGCCTTTATCCTCGCATTGGTCCGGAGTGGTCCCCACTCCGTAGCCCATGCTTTAAAATCACGGGCAATTACGGTAGGAAGATTTCCCCAGGCGTCTTCTGCAATCGCTTCGAGCACAGTTATTCCCTGGGGGAGGCTAAGGCTTGGGGCAGGTAGCAGCTGTAGAAAACTATACCATTCACATGAGCCCTGGCGAAGCAGTTTCTGCTTTTTTTATGCGAGTGTGGGTATCCGTTGATGTGTGTCTGCCCGTGTGTAGATTAGAGTCCAAAAAAGTGCAGTGAAACAGAATCTTGTTCTGTGTTTACCAAAGTTTCAAATAAGTGACGAGCGTGCAAGCTCGTTACAGTTACAGTAAAGTGGATCTTATGTACATATACAATTCGGGTTATGAATTTAGGATTCTTCAACAATATAAATTATATGTCGTGCTCCAACAATGAATAAAGTTTACACCCATATTCTATAAGCATCAAGCATTAAAGGTCTAAACCTTATCACAACCAAAACTAAGAAGATTCTCAAATCCAACATTAAAAGAAGAATAAAAAATCAAAAAGCTTAACCTATTCAGAGAAAAAACAAGAGGAAACGCTATAGTCGAGTGCCATACTGTTTTACAAAATTTTAAAATATTATTTTGCTAGTGGAAATTCACAAGGCGCCACCTATTCTCAGAGGAAGTATGTTGAGTATGCATATAGTGACGTCACTGCCCATGTGAGGCCTTATAACCTTAATTTCTTCATAAATAGCGAAATAATGTTCCGATTTAAAAAAATCTTTGGTAAATCGATAGATATTAATAGAAATAAGTGACGCAGGGTCAAACAAAGGCATTCATAATATTATTATAGACGCCACAGTTTTCCGCGGTTTGTGGTCGTTAGAGTTGGCGTGGCCGGATGCAACTTAGTCGCAAGTTGCAGAGGCATATCTTTAATACGTTTTTCTAATCAAAATTAAAGCCATACTGCATATTAGAGAGGCCGATGGTTTCGGCAAGGGCACCCTCTAGTCGGGAGTTGATTATTCTTTCAAGAATTTTGCCCACTGTATCCAGCATAGAGAGTGGCCTATACGAAGAAGGTTCCTCCACCGGCTTGGGTGTAAAGTTTACACCCATATTCTCAAAGCATCAAGCATTAAAGGTCTAAACCTTATCACAACCAAAACTAAGAAGATTCTCAAATCCAACATTAAAAGAAGAATAAAAAATCAAAAAGCTTAACCTATTCAGAGAAAAAACAAGAGGAAACGCTATAGTCGAGTGCCACGACTATAAGATACTGTTTTACAAAATTTTAAAATATTATTTTGCTAGTGGAAATTCACAAGGCGCCACCTATTGTCAGAGGACGTATGTTGAGTATGCATATAGTGACGTTACTGCCCATGTGAGGCCTTATAACCTTAATTTCTTCATAAATAGCGAAATAATGTTCCGATTTAAAAAAATCTTTGGTAAATCGATAGATATTAATAGAAATAAGTGACGCAAGGTCAAACGAAGGCATTCATAATATTATTATAGACACCATAGTTTTCCGCGGTTTGTGGTCGTTAGAGTTGGCGTGGCCGGATGCTACTTAGTCGCAAGTTCAAAAGGCATATCTTTAATACGTGTTTCTAATCAAAATTATGTAGCTCTTATAGTTTTTGAGATTTTTGCATTTTTGATTTTTCGTGTTTTGTGGGCGTTAGAGTGGGCATGGCTTCATCGAAAAAAAACAATTCGCATTGGGAGCATCATAAAAACTCTTATAGTTACCGAGATATCAGCTTTTCTAGAAAATCCGAAAACCGTCTTTTGAGCCTTGTGGACGTATGGGTGGGTGTGGCCGGATAGTAAAACCACTTTAAGATGCGCTGACATCTAAAGATTCTAAGTTCTGAATTTCAACTTTCTAGCTCCAATAGTTCCTGAGACTTCAGCAATTTTATTTTTTGCGATTTGTGAGTTTGAGTGGGCGTGGCAGGATGCTGTAATAAGCTTGCGCTGTCCCGGGACCTCAAGAATCTTCATGATTAATCTTAACTTTGTATCTGTTACAGTTCCTGAGATCTCAGCGTTCATACGGACGGACGGCCAGACGGACATGGCTCAATCGTCCTGATCAAGAATATATATACTTTATAGGGTCGAAAACGCTTACTTCTATCTGTTACATACTTTTCAACGAATCTAGTATACCCTTTTACTCTACGAGTAACGGGTATAATAAATACATTTCGCGGTAAGGTAGTCAGTTAAATCTCAATGTTCAGTCAGTTTGAATTAGGCTTCTCTAGGGTGCTCTTTGGTTCAGTATTGTATTTGCCATTTACGCTATGGTTGTAATTGGCCACACTGTTGTTTGTGGTATAAAGCAGATATATAAATTTTTTGTTTTCCCTTTCCGTCTCATTCCTTTGCCAACAGCAATATAATTTTTTCTGGTTTTCTTTTTGGAACATCTTTGAACACTTACACTGAAAATCATTCTTTGTAACTTCTGTTTGCTATGTAGAGCTTATTTCGGGTCATTAAAATAAGTGATGAATTGGTTAGCAAAAAAAATGTTTTCTTTCTCTTAGTGCACAGATGCAAACCAGCACAAAAAACGTCACTAAACTAAGACGATTTTGAGCCCCTCTGGTCTAAAGCGCCAACTCTCGGGATTTAACATATCATGAGCACTGTTCAGGCGGAAACCGCAGGACAGCCTATGGACTCCACGACTACACAGATTGCGACGTTCATGAAAAGGATCAAATATCTGGAGGAGGAGCTTCTACAGGGTGGCAGCCAGGAATCGGTGTAAGCAGTGCGGCGAATACAACGTTGAGGCAGTTCTTCAGTAAAAATCTACAATGAGCTTACCGCAATATTTGATCGGTTATGCGGCTATTGGGCAGCAAGTCCCACGAAATACGGGCCGTACAAATGTAAGGCACTCACTGCTATGTTGTATCAAAACCGCGGTGCAGTTAGAACTACAAGTTGTATTTTTTGTTTCGAAGAAACGCAGAGTGTGAAAGGCAACTCCCGGGACTTAGACCGGCGTCAATAAATATATATATGTATAATAAAAGAAAACCAGAAGAAACTCGACTGCCGCGACTATAATATACTTGTTACTGTTTTATATAATTTCCAAATATTAATTTTGCTAGTGGAAATGGACAAAGGGCCACCTTTTGTCAAAAAAGCATGTTTACTAAATGATAATGACATCATTTAAATTTCTTTATAAATAGCGAACTTTTGTTCCGATTTTAAAAACCTGTGGTAAATCGGTAGATAATAATAAAAACCAAAACCAAAAACTTAACATTTTTATATACATATACACACAGTGGCTCGCAGCTTATTTCGTGCAGTTACCTAAAAAAAAGTTCTGGTCGTTATTCCTGCATAACTAAAAAGATAACATAAAACAAGAGGATACGCTATTGTCGTATGCCGTGACTATAAGATACCCGTTACTGTTTTACACAATTTTAAAATATTCATTTTGCTAGTGGAAATTCACAAGATGCCGCCTATTGTCAGAGAAAGCATGTTGAGTAATTGATAGTGACGTCACAAACCATGTGAGGCCTAATAACCCAAATTTCTTCATAACTAGCCAAATTATTTTTTGAGACTTCAAAAAATCTTTTGGTAAATCGATAGATATTAACAAAAATAAGTTATACAAGGCCAAACGAAGGCATTGATAATAATATTATAGACGCCACAGTTTCCCGCGGTTTGTGGGCGTTAGAGCGGGCGTGGCCGGATGAAACCTCGTGGCAAGTTTCAGTGGCATCTCTCTTAAATACGGGTTTTGTGGGCATTAGAGTGGGTATGGCTTGATCGGAAAAAACAATTCGCATTGGGAGCATCATAAAACCTACACGTTTAACTTTCTGTCACTTATAGTTACCAAGATATCAGCTTTTCTAGAAAATGCGAAAACCGTCTTTCGAGCTTGGTGGGCGTATGGGTGGTTGTAGCCGGATAATACTACCACTATAAGATGCGCTGGCATTTAAAGAGTATACAAACTGAATTTCAACTTTCTTGCTCTAATAGTTCCTTAGATTTTAGCGATTTTAGTTTTTCGCGATTTTTGGGATGCTGTTATAAGCTTGCGCCGCTTAGGGACCTCAAGAATCTTCATGGTTAATCTCAACTTTGTATCTCTTATAGTTCCTGAGATCTCAGCGTTCATATGAACAGACGGACGGACGGACAGACGGACATGGCTCAATCGACTTCGCTATTGATCCTGATCAGGAATATATATACTTTATAGGGTCGGAAACGCTTCCTTCTACCTGTTACATACTTTTCAACGAATCTAGTATATCCTTTTAGTCTACGAGTAACGGGTATAAACATAACATAATCTCTGCAGGCCCCCAGGTTAGGGGTTTCCTTAATTTTTGGCCATTTTCAATTTTACCAGGACAACAATCCTAAGCATTCAGCAGGCAGTATTTTGAAGACTTGGGTTATCTGGAACTGCCCCCATGTCGTTAAATGTGATCGAAAATGTGTGGGAGATATTAGCTGTATGGAAGAGGAAGATTTCGAACAATAAACGATCAAAGCTGTCCCGAAGCAGAAAGGCGGACATAAAAAATGTTTGCTGTTAAATAACAAATAATATGTTTAGTATAATCTGCAAAGAATAAGCTGCGTCATGGGAAAAGCCTGTACATTTAGTTTTTATTAAATAATTCTTTTGTTTTTATAATTAAGAAAATTGCGTTCGTTCAATAAACATGTTAATGTTCCCCTTAAATTTATCTGATATCTTTTTTAGTTTAGTAGGACACTGGAACTTTTTTAGGTAACAGCACGAAATAAGCTGTGAGCCACTGTATGTACAAGTTTTCTATGAAAAAGGTGTTAAATATTTTTAACTCTACGCAAACATTACACTCAAACTCCTCGATCAACATTAAATTTACTTTGAAATTTTTGTAAGGTTGAAGTGAAGGCGGATAAACTTAAAGAAAACCAGATTCTTCTAACACACCCGTTTTGTTTGCTTTTCTCTAGCTTTGTGGGCCTTCGAATATGTTTCTTCGTATATTTCCGTAAGGCCGACATTTTGATATACATATGTACAGTGTAAGTATAAGTACCTACATAAGCATCTAATCATTCGCTTCAGTAAGTCAGTTCAATATAAAAAAACGTTCAGTTGTATACAAACATATAAATTCATACACATGCATGTGCGTACATGTATACATGTGCACACAACCAATACTTCCAAAAATATGACGTTAGCATATCCAAACTCAGTTGATTTCGAGTTCTCTTTGCGGATAGTTTTATATACATATATGACTTTATTTAATTTTGCTATTATCTTATAATTTACATATTTCAGTTAGTGGTTTAGAAGATTAATTGTGTTTACAATGTATTAATTAGTTTTGAATGACTCATATGTATGTCATATACATACATACGTACATATGTGTACATACATACATATGTGCTAAAAGAGTAGACAGTGATCTGTAGCTTATTTCGCTCAATTCAGAAGTGGTCATGCAGGCACTGTGCACGATAATTAAACATATGTACATATAAATACAATTTTTTTTTAAATCATTTCACTAACATGTTTAATCAACGAAAACTATTTTTCAATTTACAAAAAGGAAACAGAATATAAAAATTACAATGTAATTGCTTAAGGTACATTTATCTATTACATACACACATTTGTATTTTAATTTTAAAATTAATGCAGGCACTGTGCACGATAATTAATCATATGTATAAAGACAATTTTTTTTAAATCATTTCACTAGAATGTTTAATCAACGAAAACTATTTTTTAATTTACAAAAAGGAAACAGAATATAAAAATTAAAATGTAATTGCTTAAGGTACATTTATCTATTACATACACACATTTATATTTTAATTTTAAAATTAAAAATTGTAGTCGTAATTTGTATAGTCTTTTTGTTTAAGGAATAAGTCCAATAGATATTCAATTGAAAAATCGTTAGTTTTTCCTTATAACTTGTGTTTTCATTTTGTGTTTATTTCGCATTTTTCGGGTGAGTACAATAAGTGAATTCGTTAGCAAAAAAACAATTTATCTTTCTCTCAAAGCACAGCTACAATCCAACACAAAAAGTCACTAAATATTTGCTCCTTTTTCGTAAGACGAATTTGAACACCCCTGAATTAGGCCATGAATAATTATTAGGTTACTCAATTCCTAAAAGACCCACCAAAGTGAATGTTGCCCTGCCGCTTAACTTATCTTGGTCTCTTTGAACCGAAAAGCTTTAACCCCCACACTGGACTCATTAGCAAGAGGAAATGGTTGATTAATGTGCTCCTTTGAACATGGTTCATAAACAAATGGTTTCGAACTTCCACCCTAGTTTTCTTGCCCATTCCGTGCTCGATATCTATGGAAAATTTGATTAAATGAAAATGCTCATAAACTCTTGTTTTATTTTGTTCTTTTCTATATAAAATTGTTTTTTTCATTGAAAAAATAAGAATTGTATTTCAATAAAATTCAGAAGTGTACATTCAAAAACTATGCAACAAATTAAGACCATTTTTTAAAAACACTAACATATTAATATTTAACCAATGAAAGCCAGTATGTATGCATATCGTACATCTTACATATATTTTTTAATTTTAAAATTAAAAATGTTAGTCCTTTTGTATGGCCTCTTTTTGTTTTAGGATTAATTCTAATAGATCAATACTTTATTTTGTTCTCTTCTATATAAAATTTGTAAGTTTCATTAAAAAAATAAGAATTGTGTTTTATTAAACTGCATTTAAGATTTTTTATATATTGAGATAAGATGTAAACTTGCAATTTGTAACAAAATAATCCGAAAATTGAAAGTACGAGTATGTATTCTGTAACTTAAGTCTCGTAAACCACCTATTTGAAATTAACGGCGTTCGTCGTCTATACAGACAAAACAAAAATAATATTTCAAAATTGTGTAAGACAGTAACGAGTATCTTATAGCCGCATTTAGCTTTTCTTCCAATTTTTATACCCGTTACTCGTAGAGTAAAAGGGTATATTAGATTCGTTAAAAACTATGTGACAGGTAGGAAGGAAGCGTTTCCGACCCTTTAAAGTATATATATTTATTGATTAGTATCAATAACGAAGACGATTGAGTCATGTCCGTCTGTCCGTCCGTCTGTTCATATGAACGTTGAGATCTCAGGAACTATAAGAGATACAAGATTGATATTAAGCATGAAGATATGAGTCCATACGAAAAACACTCCAACGCCCACAAATCGCAAAAACTAAAATCGCTGAAATCTCAGGAACTATTAGAGCTAGAAAATTGAAATTTATATGGCAGCGGATCTTATAGTGGTACTATTATCCGGCCACACCCACTCATACGCACACAAGGCTAAATAAGGTTTTCGCAAAAATAATTTGCCACTCCAAGGTTCACAAGCGGAAAACTGTGGCGTCTATAATATTACTATAAATGCCTTCGTTTGACCTTGTATAACTTATTACTGTTAATATCTATCGATTTGACAAAGATTTTTTAAATCGGAACATTTTTTTGTTATTTATGAAGCAATTTAGGTTATTAGGCCTCACATGGGCAGTGATGTCACTATCAGTTACCCAACATACTTTCTCTGACAATAGGGGGCGCCCTGTGAATTTCCACTAGCAAAATGAATATTTTTAAATTGTGTAAAACAGTAACGGGTATCTTATAGTCGCGGCACTGGACTATAGCGTTTCCCCCTTTTTTTTTATTTTTTTGGCACTATCATACGTCTTATGAAAGATATTTTGAGCAAAACTGTTTTCTCCGTATATTTGTCCCTATTGCTACCAACTTGCTATGGATTAAGATATTGTTTTAAAAAAAGTGGTTTATGGTGGTTTATTAAGAAAACTATAATCCCTTCAAATTATATTCCAATTTCTTGTGAATGAACTTATGATATACACTGTACACTATTCGGTTACTTCTATTCTGTTGAAATAGTTTCATCAATAGGCATGGATTTTTCTTTTTCATTTTGATATAAGAAATCAATAACGATAATGGAAACCTTCATATTAATTTCAAATTATATCAAAAATGGTTGTGAACCCCGATCTATTGAGATCTTGGATACATTTCATATAGGTGACTATTCTGATATGTATTAAAATCACCATTGCTTACCATCGTATGAGTATGTTCAGATCGTCTCACGATTTGCCGATAGTTTTACGTGCCATCGATTAAAGTCAAATGTATTTCATATAAAGTGCTTTGCAGCGGCTTGTTGGAGCTTCATGATTAAGTATTGCCATAAGTCGATTGCTAACACTGTAATTAATAACATTCAGCTTTCAAATAGTCTCATCAGTCCTTAACTCACAAGGCAATATATAACATGTACTAAACATTTGGTGCTAATAATATATTTAATATTCTTTAACAATTTATTAAAAAAATATAACAACAAAAATCAAAAGTTTAGTTTTTATTTTATAGCTGCCAGTATATCGTTAAGATACTGTTACTGTTTCGCAGAAGTGGCATCTCTATAACACGTATGCTTAAGCTCTTAGCTCTTCTTAGCTCTTTCACTAGTGCCTTATTGCTGAGCATGTGGCTCCCTCTGTAAGCTTTTGAAAATGGCTTATTTTTCACATTTTTTATCACATCTTAGGACAATAGCAACCAACTTTTTTTATCACTTTAATCCATAATCCATTAGCTCAATTCCTAATTTCACAACTATATTCTACCTATCTGCAGCGTCCATTATCCCCATAATGGCGCTATGACTTCGACGTCTCCCATCTGATCTAAGTAAATGGTGTTGTTCAATTTTGTAATTGACCACTTTTATTGACCTTTTGCAGGTAAACTTGCATTAGGCTAGAAGACAATTTTTTTTTTTACATTGGCCATCTAGCGGTATTCTACTTTGAAGTACAAACAACAATTTTGAACAGGACACTCCACTAAACTCAGTGATAATCTTTTTTGTGATTGGCTTAAGATTTGTGCCGCCTCTAATGAAATAATGATGAATTAAATTAATGATGATATTAAAGCCGTTTCTCGTAAAGTAAAATGGTATATAGTATTTGTTGAAGAGTATATAACAGGTAGAAGGAGTCGTGTTCTACCCTATTCAGTACGTATATTCGATAAAGCAATGTCCGAATGAACGCTGAGATACCAGGAACTGTAAGAGATACAACGTAGAGACTAAGCATGCAGATTTTTGAGATGCATACGTAGCGCAAGTTTATTTCAGCGTTACGTCGCGCCCACTAATTAGGAAAAACTAAAATCGATGAGATCTCAAGAAATATCAGAGATCGAACGTATGTATTTTCTGTGTAAGTTAAAATTAAGTTCCAATAGCGTATTATTTATTATGTAATTACAGACGGGAAAGATACCTTGCTTTATATTATGAATTTAAAATTGCCTACCAATGCGAGAATCCTTTTTCAATATATTTAAAATTACTTCATTCTCTTGATTTAAAGTCGCTTATTGACACAAAATAATTTTTTATCAATATGTTCAACATTTGATGGGGTATTTTGTGTAGCATATACAATCTTATTAGAGTTGAAGAGTTCTTTCCCTATATGTCTTAAAGCATTACAAATGATTTTGCACATATAACCTGTATTTTAGAATCTAGTCTTTTAATTATAGCAAATCTTGTTCGGAATGTTTTTACTGGTGCGGTCTTTAATTTTAATCGTTCTAATCATTATTAAGTGCCCTGAGAAGTACCCAGATATCATTGATAATATGCTGCTCCTTGGGTGTTTTAGGCTTGTTATTCGTAACTTCGTAATGTTGGTGTTAAATTTAAGTGTTATTTCTAAGAAAGAAACTGGAATGGTGAGATAAGATCGATAAAAAACCTGAGAAATAAAATTAATCTATAACATATTTATACATATTTCATACATTTATTCTAGTGTGAATGATAAACTTGGCCATTGCAAATAAAAATAAAAAAGATTTGTGCCATATGATTTCCACAAACTTTTATAATATCTATATGAAGCTAGAATGAAAAGCAACGCTATGCTGCCAAACTCATCTGAACAGGAATATTCCGAATTTCTAAGAGAATATTTACTGCAAAATAGTTCACAAAATAACGAACCCGAAGTTTCTTACGAAGGTTAGTACTTATTAGCATTTTTGGATATATGAATTTTAATTTTTTTTTTTAGATGGGGAAATGGAAGCAGAATGGTTGGTTTCCGCCGGATATCCAGAATTAACAAAACCTTTTGAAAAAGTAAGCATGTTGTCTAATAAATTATTGCAGGTTAAAATTGGTTAGAAAAAGATGAGTGGTCTTGGTGATAAATACAACGAGATTTAATGACTTTTTCTTTTCTGTTACAAAGTCTATTTAGTACTGAAGTGTGTATTTATGCCAATGCAACGGCATTGCCAACAAGATGGAAAATTTGGGTATATTAGAGATGCGCATTTACGCTTAGATAGTCGAAATTGTAAACCGTTTACGAAAATCCAGACCCCCCTTAAAAACACAGTTTCTGAACGAGCCAATACTGCAACCTTCGTGATGAGTCTGGGCACTTTCCTGTTGGCGTCCTCATTTTGAAGGCTCGTAACCATATCGTTATTTACTGGATAGGTCTCAACAATTCGTGCAAAATGCCAAGATCCTAGTGGTGTACTCGACTCCTTAACTAGTAAAACATAATCGACCAATATGTAGGTATGTGACAGATAGTGCGATTCCGTATACGATGTGTAGAATAAGGGACGCGATTTGATTACTGCGCTGATCTCATCTCTTCAAAGGTGAGCGTTGAGTTTCCAATGAATATACCAAGATGCCGTTTTACACAGCTAACTGCTGACTCCCACTTCCCTCCCCAGAGAGGGGTTCTCGGAGGAATGTGTATCCATTGAATTCTATCATTTGTCATGACGCTAGTAACGAGTCATCGATCGATCGTTTAGCTCCAATGAAGTTTGTACCTTTGTCGTTACTTGACCAATGAAAACCAGACAAAATATTCGGTTAAATCGTCCAAGATCCCAGTCGATTTCAAAGAGGCATCATGCCTTTGTAAATTCTCCAAAAATATGTCAATCGGTGCGTTTGTGTTGAATTATGTACACGCCAGTTCCAATACCTTGAATTCCTTGAATACATCGAGTGCCGATGAGTCGATATGTTGCCTTTCCAGAGAATAATTGATCTTGCCAAGAACGTGGGCTTGGACAAGCATATGGTCCGTAAAAATGCGAGACTTGATGTGAAGCGTGCTGCATCCCCTAATCGTGTCTGCTTTTACTGAAGATATTCTAGTTATCAAGATGTTTGATGCGGAATGTGCCAATGTATCCGTTCGGATACATAAGAGAGTTCTAAACTGGTGTGTAACAAAACACGAGCCGTTATGGAATCTCCATTTATCGTTTTCCTCTGAAGAATTTGCAGTGACTTGGGCCAAATGGCTGAGAGTCGCTAAAGTTTCGTATGTTGCGTTAGTGTCTGGCTCTACCACTTGGGTAAAAGTCTCAATGGCATGTAGACTTTCTTGCACATGTAGAAGAGAGTGAGGATTTCCTTTGCAATGTTTACATTCGAATGTATTATATATTTGCACATATTGATCCCATGCCCAGATTGCAAATAGTTATAGTACAAAGATTTTTCCTTTGCAAAAGATCGCCTTTGTTCTGTAGACCTATATATGTTTTAGCTACCGCCTTCAATTGCGACCATTGATAATTCTTTTAGGTTTTTCGACTTGTGTTGTTGTCTTGCCATCATTAGAAAGCTCCCGTTTGCTTAGCTCCAGTTCCTGGCATTGAGAATCTAGAAACTTTAAGAACTCCTCGAGCGTGGGGGAATCCGTGTCCGTGCTGCGTTAAATTCACCTTCGCCGTGCGTCAGCGTCAAGTTTCTCCAATGTTAGTTAGATTATCCAACAATCGCGTGCAGTTTGGTTCACAGCATCCAGACCTTGAACCATTTCATTATGTCCGACACCTTGCGTAATATGTATGCATCTGTTTTTTTTTTGTTGCTGGTAAGCTCATAACTGCTCCAAAAATGAGTTTACTATGCGCTGTGGACGATTTTATCTTTCCTTCAGCCGTTCCCACACAGTGGTGTACGCCGTATCCTAGATAGCCAGGTCTCGCACCAAGTTAGTAGCTTTATCAGCTTTTGGAATCGCCGTACCAGATACAGAATTTAAATCCGCCGCTGTTACGCCACACCAGCTTGAAACGGTTTTTTTGTGTTGCCCTGATTTGTTGCGAAACGCTTGAAGAGCTCTTAGTTTTATTGTAGCAAGCTGAGAATTGCGTCTTCTGGAATGTCATGTCCAGAAGATATACCCGGTGGTGGAGCACCTCTTTTTTCCTTGAGAATCGTGTTTGACCTTAAGTATTTTGATTCATAGATTTTGTTGTCTATCTCCGGATCTACATAACCTTCAACGTCCTCGTGAAGAGCTATGCAATTGAATTCCTTACTTAAAGTATGTATGCCAATGCAACGGCATCGTCAACAAGATGGAAATTTGTGTATATTAGAGATGCGCTTTTACGCTTCGGTATTCGAAGTTGCAATTTGCTCACGAACAGGACGAAAGGGTATATTATAATTATTGAAAAGTAATAGGTAAAACGAAGCGTTTCAGATTTTACAGATATCTTAATTTTGCAACTATTTTTCTACCTATCTGGAGAGTTCATTATCCCAAAAAGATCCCATTATAACACTATGACTTCTACGTGTTTCAAATGATCTATGTAAAAACTGTTTTTTAATTTCCCCCTTTTGTTGCCCTTTAGACTATAGACAAATTGTTACAATAAGTTATAAAATTAAAATCTTTCTCGTTTAGGGATTGAAATGTATATATAATCTTGACCAGGATAAATAGCCAAGTCGTTAAGCCATGTTCGTCCGTCCGTCTGTCCGTCTCTGTATGAACGCAGAGATCTCAGAAACTATAAGATACAAGGAGCGCAAGCTTATGCCGGCATCCGGCTATGCCCAAAGTCTCCACTCTGAGATTTAAAAAGTTGGGATTAGCATGTTTAATTTTAAAATGTCAGCGCAAGGTGGTACTATTATCCGGCCGCGCCCACTCTAATGCCCACAAACCTCGGAATACTTTTGCTTCCATATCCAAATGTATGTATGTCTTCGTTTGTTATTTTATTATTTTTTAATTAAAATCAATTGATTTACCGAAGATTTTTAAAATCGGAACATTATTTTGCGATTTATTGAAAGTGTAGGTTATAAGGCCTCACATGTGCAGTGACGTCAACATTAGTTAGTAGACATGCTTTTTCCGTTAGCAAAAGTTGAAATTCAGAAAGTATAATCTGAAGATGCCAGTGCATCTTAAAATGGTACTACTATCCGGCTACACCCACCCATACGCCCACAAGGCTCAAAAGACGGTTTTCGGATTTTCTAGAAAAGCTGATATCTCGGTAACTGTAAGAGATAGAAGGTTTTTATGATGCTCCCAATGCGAATTGTTTTTTTCCGATCAAGCCATGCCCACTCTAACGCCCACAAAACCCGAAAAACCAAAAATGCAAAAATCTCAAAAAATACAAGAGCTGCAAGATTTTGCTTAGGAACACGTATTTAAGAGATGCCACTGCAACTTGCCACGAGGTTTCATCCGGCCACGCCCTCTCTAACGCCCACAAACCGAGGAAAACTGTAGCGTCTATAATATTATTATGAATGTCTTCTTTTGACCTTGTATAACTTATTTCTGTTAATATCTATCGATTTACCGAAGATTTTTTAAATCGGAACATTATTTCGCTATTTATAAAGAAATTAAGGTTATAAGGCCTCACACGGGCAGTGACGTCACTATAAGCATACTCAACATGCTTCCTCTGACAATGGGTGGCGCCTCGTGAATTTCCACTAGCAAAATAATATTTTAAAATTTTGTAAAACAGTAACGGGTATCTTATAGTCGCGGCACTCAACTATAGCGTTTCCTCTTGTTTTTTCTGTTTGTTTTTGAATGAATCTAATAATTATTCGATTACATAAGAACTGGAATACAGCCCGCATCATAAATATGAATTTTATACCAGTTGGATTTAAAACAAGAAAAATTGCTTTAGGGGAGTGCCTACTATAAGATAACCTTTGTCCCTGTGTTCAATTTTAGATTATATTCTTATAAATAAGCTATTTTTATAGCCATAATTCGTAGTATATATTTTTAAAAATTATTAAAACTTAGCATGCATTTAACATTTAGCTTGAAAATTCTGGTAATAAGTACGTTATGCGAGTTAGTTTACTCTGACACTAAAAAAAGGCAAAAAGTTTGAATGTTAAAGTTGGCAAAGCTTAATAATGAATATTATGCAAAAATTAACATTGACATTTTCATAAATATGAAGTGTGCTTTTTCTAATATGGTTTTCTGATTAATTACAATAATTCAATTCATTTTTTTAGGGTTTGGAGATTCGATATACTGAGCTGGAGCCAATACTTACGACTTTATCAAAACCTTATGCTGAAGCTATTGTTCAAAGGGTAAAGGCTTTAAATCAAACAATTCAGGGACGCTCGAAAACTCGACCAAAACGGAAGCCTGATATTAGAGATGTATTTCGGGATTTTGATGTAAGTATAATAAATGTGTAAAATTATTCATAGATTTGATAGCTTATCTTAACTTATGTATGTTTATTTTTATATAAACACTCGTAAACAAGCGTTGGAAAAGCTAAGATACTCCAGTATATAGTTTTGCTATTGCTATCGCTCTCACTATGACGAGCTCTGCTCGGAGCTTTAACAAGTTATGGCAATAGCAGAAAACTGTCATTAAGAAGATTGCCATATTTTAGGCGCTTATTGTGAATTGTGCCATCTGCTAAGATACCTTCTTACTTTAATGCTATCATTATCAAAAAATAGCTTAAAATATTGATTGTCAGGAATGTTAAATGCTAAATGCAAAAGGTGATCATCAACGGGACTTTTTATGATGCCACCATCATTCGGTCATTTAGTATTTAAAAATAATGTACTAAGTAAATAATAATTATAATTAAAAAACAAGAAGAAACGCTATAGTCGAGTGCCACGACTATAAGATACTGCTACTGTTTTAAACAATTTTAAAATATTCAGTGGAAATTCATAAAGCGCAACCTATTGTCAGAAAGCATGTTGAGTAATTGATAGTGACGTCACTGTCAATGTGACGCCTTATAATCTACATTTTTTCATAAATAGCAAAATAATGTTCCGATTTGAAAAATCTTTGATAAAGCGATAATATTGACAAAAATGTGTTATACAAGGTCAAACGAAGATATACACTATAATATTATGGACGCCAAAGTTTTTCGGGCGTGGTCCGATAAAAATTCGTGGAAAGTTGCAGTGGCAATTCTTAAATATGTACGATTCATGTAAAATTATTCGGTCAATGCTCAATGACCTGCTCATCCAAAACAGTTGAAGACACCCGAAACACTCATTCCGAAACATGAGTGTTTCGCTCACTCCTTATTTTCTTTTTTTTGCTTTCAGTGTTTACCCAAAAAACTGTGCAATAGAATCGAGTGAAAAGAAGGAATGTTTAAAGCTAAATTCAAAATCTGATCATCAACGGGACTTTTTATGATGTCAGCAGTCAATTGGCTTTTCCATCCTGCGTCTATCTCATTTCCCTTTGAGGCATATCCGGCAGGCTTCCTTCTATAAATTTCTAAAAGCATCCATTCTATCCTCCGGCTTTTAATTTTTGTTAAATTACCGATATATCTCAATGTTGCTGTGAATAAAAGTCCAATCTCTAGTTTAACTTATGCCTGGCCACACTGATTCTCTTGTGAATTTTTTCATAGAAACTATCGATGGGAAAACTAACTAAACTAAACTAATCTCTAGTTTAACTTATGCCTGGTCAAACTGAATCTCTTCTGAATTTCTTCATAGAGCTGGAAAACTATCGATGGTGACGCAATTTGATATTGTCGATGGTTTCGGATCGATACTATCGATACCAAAAAAAAAAGTTCGCTTCCGGCAAATATTCGTGCGAGCCAAAAAAAAGGCCGGCAAATATTTTCGTGCGACCAAATATGCAAATAAGATGACCATCGATAGTGAGAAGTGACACCCGAAACACTCAGATCAGTTGAAGACACCCGAATCACTCATCCCGAAACATGGGTGTTTCAGACACTCCCTTCATTTGCTATAAGTGTTTTGGGTGTCTGTGCAATACAATCATGTGCATAGGATTAAGTGGGTGACAAAAAGCAAATACACAAAACACTCAAAGCGATCTATGCACTCGGGTGTGTTACTCTTTTCTTGCTGAAAAGAACACTCGAAATGTATAAGTGTGATTCGGGTGCCGAAAAAAAGACACCCTTGACGATCTCCTGGTGTATATCATTAAGAGGGACAGCAGTGGAAACGTGCAGCCTTGACTGCAGTGCTAAATCTTTACTTGCACCAAATGTATGCATGCACGACATACCTGAATAGAAGGCTAACCGATGTTTTCTATATGAAACCGCCTCAGGGATACATTGACGTGGTATCACCACATAAAGTAATACGATTGAACTATATCCATAACCATATTTTCAAGTAGAAAGAGAGTGGCATATAAAGTTGAACGAACCTATGCGATATAAGGATCCCTTTGTCAGAACGAGCCATGTTTGTACATGATGAATGTAGATGGCTGACTTTGCCTGATACTTATCTACGTTGATGATTTGTTTCTTGCTTGCCGGAAAAAGAAGACATAATTGACATGAAGACAAAGATTACTATAAAGTTCTATAAATTACTATGATTCTGGAAATTAGCAGTAGCTCTACCTTTGCTCTAGCCGCTCCTTTCGTGGATTTTGAAAGTCCAAGAAACATTTTCTTCATTTAAAAGCCCGCATCGTTTGCTGGTTGTCTCAAACTCTTTAACCGAATGCTTTAATTTAAAAGCAGATATCCCTTCCGTTCTTTCCGTTAAAAATTCTGCCGTGCAATCATTGTTGTGGCTAATTGTTATGGACTTGAGTTTCATCAACGGTGTGCCAGGGATGCTGATCACCACTCTGTTGATCAGATGTTCGCTCGCTCTGTATTTGACTAAGAATCACTGATTAAATGGATGTATTGGATCGAATAGAACGTTATAATTTTCCAAAGCTAAACCTTTTTGTTGAAAAGTTTGCTTTATTTCAATATTTCCGCATTCACATTTTGTATCTTTTCTAGAATTACCCTTTTACTTGTTCGAACTGAAGGTTCGGACCTATTTATGTTTTTGGTTGGGACAAACAATCTTTCCCTTATCATTATTTTGTCAATTCGTTTTTAGGCGCGTCATCACCTATATATGGTCATCATCTATATACTGAGTCCTTTCACTTTTTCGTGTTCGTGATCGTGCTTTTGGTCCGGCCGAATGAAAAATGTTTTAAACTATTTAACAAATATGCAATGTAAATATTTTATTTAATAAATATTTTACCAATTTACCATTTATAAGTTGATTTGGATCCCTTAAAAATTAAATCAAACATTAGTTAGAGCCCAATACCAAGTTTTTAATAAATTTAATTTATTAAAACTCCTCAAACACTAGGGTATAATTAGATATTTATCAAGTTTTTATACCCGCTACTCGTTGAAAAAGGGTATAATATATTCGTTGAAAAGTATGTAACAGGTAAAAGGAAGCGTTAGGAAGGTATCAACGGGTATCTTATCGTTTTCTCTTGTTTTTATTAATACCTATCGATTTACCAACAGTTTTTAAATCGGAACAGTATTTCGCTATTTATGAAAAAATTTTAGTTATAAGGCCTCACATGGCTTGTGACATCACTATCAATTACTCAACATGCTTGCTCTGACAATAGGTGGCACTATGGAAATTCCCACTAGGAAAATGAATATTTTAAAATTGTGTAAAAATAGTATTGGGTATCTTATAATCACGGCACTCAACTATATCGTCTCCTCTTGTTTTATACTCGAAATATTGATCAAGATCAATAGCCAAGGTAATTTAGTTGTTTGGGATTTCGAAACTCATTACTGATAATAAATAATTTAGAGACTCACTTGCTTTTTACAAAATAGATTCGGTTGACTCTAACGTCTAAAAACTGCACTTAATTTTTTAAAAATAGTACCACAGAAATTTAATACCAGTCGGATAAGGAGAAAATCTTCATATTGACATATGTAAGTACATATATTATCCTCAAAAGAAATATTTATAACCTGGAAACACTTTTATTCAAAATTCCATCAAGTCAAATTTTTTTTATTTTCGCCAAAAACATCGAAAACATCGATGTCCGTGAACATCAATGGTTCTAGTCTGTACCTATCGACAATTTCTTAAACAACATTATTTTGTGGTTTTATTAAGAAACGTAGATTTGAAGACGTCATTATCAGCTATTAAACATGTAACCAGCATGGGATTACAAATATTTCATATTTTTCAATCACAATTACAATTGACATGGGCAAGACAAGAATTGGTACCAGCCGACCGTTTCTTAATTATCCTGGTTGGACCGCCTTTTGTACTCCCTCCCTAGTGACGACGTCACGATAAATAGAAGTGAACTCTCCGTTTCTCGTATGATGAAACTTTTTTTTTAAGACTTTCGTATGGAAGTCAGTAAAGCAACACTTCCTAGAATGAAGGCGGGATTCAATTTGTCAAAAGGACACTGCTTTGCCGTTGGCATCTTAGGTAAATACTCGGTCATTGTTGCGATGTAGCACTTCCAGAATAGGCCAGTGCTTGGATCTTACAACGGCTGCATGACGGCATTGGTACGAATGAATAATATTTTTATACTCGTTACTCGTAGACTAAAAGGGTATACTAGATTCGTTGAAAAGTATGTAACCGAATGAAGGAAGCATTTCCGACCTATAAAGTATATATATTCTTGATCAGGATCCAATAGCGAAGTCGATTGAGCCATCTCCGTCTGTCCGTCCGACCGCCCGTTCGTCCGTCCGTATGAACGCTGAGATCTCAGGAACTATAGTAGATACAAAGTTGAAATTAAGCATGAAGATTCTTGAGGGTCCCGGGAAAGCGCAAGTTTATTTCAGTATCCTGCCATCTCGGGAACTATTAGAGGCTAGAAAGTGGAAATTCAGTATGTATAAACTTTGGATGCCAGCGCATCTTTTAGTGGTACTACTATCTGCCTTGTACACCTACCCATACGCCCACCAAGCTCAAAAGACGGCTTTCGCATTTTTAAGAAAACCTGATATCTCGGTAACTATAAGAGATAGAAAGTTCAGATTAAGCATGTAGGTTTTTATGATGCCCCAAATGCGAATTGTTTTTCATCTAGCCACGCCCACCTAACGCCCACAAAACCCGAAAAACCAAAAATGGAAAATCTCGGGAACTAAAGAGCTAGAAAGTTAGTATATTTTAGGGATGCCACTGCAACTTCCCACGACTTCTCATCCGGCCACGCCCACTCTAACGCCCACAAACCGCGAAACACTGGCGTAATAATAATGTTATGAATGCCTTCGTTTGACCTTGTATAACTTATTTCTGTTAATATCTATCGATTTGACAAAGATTTTTTTAAATCGGAACATTATTTTGCTATTTATGAAGCAATTTAAGTTATAAGGCCTCACATGGGCAGTGACGTCACTATCAGTTACTGGACATGCTTTCTCCACAATAGGTGGCGCTTGAATTTCCATTAGCAAAATGAATATTTTAAAATTGTAATAAACAGTAACAGTAAAAGTTTGTGCACGATATTTTATTTTATTTTTTAAGTTACAGTTAAGATCAAGAGGTTGTTGGAACTATTTTCAACCGTTTTATCAAAACAGGACCGTATAACCTTTTGACGGCCTGTAAAAAACTCTGATATAAAAGTGTATAACATTTTGAAGCAGTTTATTTTTATATTTAAAGAGTCAGTGAGGGCACACGTTCACGCAGTGCCACACCAGATTCTCTGGATTCCATACAAGTCGATGATGTTTGGGCAAACTGTTCAATGTAAGATCAATTAAAATTACCCCAATTTTTAAGCTAATATTTTTTTAATAGCTCAAGCAATGTTAGAGTTTGTAGAAAGCATTAATGAGACGGGCAGTAAAAATTGTGAACAAAGAAAAGAAACATTAAAACAGAACTTGCGACGAATACCCAGCTCACAGCTTAAAAGTTACACTTGTGCAGATATATTTAGAGGGTCGCATGTGCGATGTGATATACCGTTGCATTCGGCGCATGGTGTAGAGTTGCTTGGTTATTCACGGATTGGGACTATCATTTGCCTCGAAGCCGATCCGGCTCAGATCCATTTTTGCATACTTGGGTAAGTATTTTAAATTTGGTTTATGGTATATATAGTTCACACAATTATTTCTTTTCAGAAGAGCGCGTGAAATTTTGCTTACAGATTCTCAGAGTGTAAGTAATGCTTCATCAGACGATTCTTGTGTTGAGTGTACAGATGCTTCACAAAAGACAAAAACGAGTCTAAGTCTGTCACAGACCAAAAATCAAAGCTTACGCATTTCCCCTATGTCCTATGATGGCCTTAGCTTTGAAAGCATTTGTCGAGATACCTCTAGTCTTGACTGCATCAAGCATTAGATAACTGTGACACATCTTCAAAACTTTGTATACACAGATATCAATAATATAAGTGAAGTTGAACTTAAAAGGATTAAAGACAATTCTTTGGTTAGAATTAGCTAATATTTGATCGTAACCAAGTGTCTTTGGATAAAAGAAAGCCCATAAACGCCGTCTCACGCAAAGAAGAGGGGTAATCTTTTTGGGTATCTTTAAATGCTCTAATAAGACGGGATCAACGAAGTTACCGGCACTGATTCTACATTAGTTCCATTATTTTTGGAAAACTTGATAGCCGAACTTGTACAGCGTGGGTCTAGAGAAGAAGGAATACTACAGGTGGTGGACATAAGCAAA